TGAAGAACAAAACGACAGCAACTTGTCTGTTCCCCTTCCCCCAATTCCCCAGCGCTGTTCCCATCCCCCAATTCCCCAATAAAAATCTTTAAAACAAAACAAAACCCCACCATATTATGACTTGTCATCAGTGATTACATTTGCCTCATGGGGAAACTGTCTAAAAATGCCAAGAGCACATAGCACTAATGTTATTAAACTCTCCCAGGCTGTAGAAAAAAGAGGAAAATTTCCATTTTCTTTTAAAGAAGTGAATATAACATTGATTCCAAAACCTGACAAAAGCTAAATATGAAAGGAAATTATACTTTACCTATGAATATCAGTGCAAAAATCCCAAATACAATATTGGAAAACAGAGCCAGGTAGTAGACCAAAAAGGAAAGAACACGTAATAAGTAAGTTATCACAAAGAGTGTTCATTATTAGGAAATCTGTCAGTAGCGTTCATTATATTAACAGATCTAAGGAGAAAAACCAGATGATATCTACAGATGCTCAAAAACCATTTAACAAAACTCAAGAGCTATTACTGACTAAAGACAGAGGCTCCATAAAACAGAAACAAATGGATACTTTTTTAATACTGAAAACGCCACCCCACCTCGGTCCAGAGGCCAGCATTGTGGTGAAGGCGGAAACAGCAGCTGCATCCCGCTAAGGTGAAGACCACCCTGCCCACCATTAATGTGCCGTCTACTGGAGGGTCTAGTCAATAAAATCAGGAAGAAACAAAGCAGATACAAAAGCGGAAACACAGTAGGTACAACCCACCCTACTTGCAGACCATAACAGCTACGCGTTTTATGGAACACAATCAAACACAACATCTGCTGTGTCAGTCACGGTCTTAAGTGCTTCGCATGTCATTCACTTGGTCCTCAACGAAACCCTGCCTGGGGAAGTGTTGTGATTTCACCGTTTTGCAGAAGAGGACACGGAAGCACAACGGCCACATAGCTTGTCCAAGCTCGCACAGCAGTCAAGCTGGGGCTGACTCATGGCAGCCAGCCCCCGAGCCGCAGACAACACAGTGCAAACTGGGAGGATCCATGCGAGTCATGAAAACCACCACAAGTGACAAACCAAGCAGAGTGGCAGGACACAGAACTGACATGCAGGGATCTATAGCGTCCATCTAGACACGCAGCAATCATGTAGAAGACGCAATGGAAGAAAAGGTCCCATTTATAACAGCAACAAAAACGAAAAAATGCCTAGGAATAAAATTAACAAGAACTGTACAAGCTCTCTATGAAGAAAAAAATGCTAAAACCACAGGAAGACACAAAAGCACAGACAAGTGAAAGATATGTCACGTTCTTGGAAATGGAGACACAACACATAAAGCTGTCAATTCTCCATAATTAACAAATTTAATACGATTCCAACAAAAATACCAGCTGGTTTTATTTTGGAACAAGCAAGTTTATTCTACATTCATATGGAAAATAAACAAGAGAAATCCCTGAAAAAGAAGTGTGAGGATGGGCATTAGCCATTGAATGATTATGTAGCCTAGAAACGGACACAGCGTGGCCTTCGTGACCGAGGGCCACCGGCTGGGATGCATGGTCCTGCAGACTCAGCGCCCTCCAGAGGCTGGCACACGGATCAGTGGGAAGGTGGACTTGCCCCGTATGTGCGCTGGCACACCAGGGTGGCTGTCCCCACACAAGCCAAAGGCGGCGGTGCTGCACCACAGACTAGAGGAACAGAAAGAACATCCAGTGCTAACGCGAGCTGTCACAACTCCTACATTTTAAGGGGTTTGTGGTGAGCGTGTGCAGGAGCGCATACTGGAAGGGACAAAGCTGCAGAGAGACCCCCAGATCTGCCAAGGGCCCCTCCGCATATTCAGCAGAGTCCCGGTCAACGCACGCATGTCAGGAAAGGACTCAAGCAAAGGACATGGTTTTAAGGCTCACACATTGTGTGAAGTGGTTTGTCACTAGAAGTGGGTTGTGAGAAGTTTACAAACTCCAAGTCAAAAATAACTAAGTAAAGAGTTATAGCTAATAAGTTAACAAAGGATCTACTGGAACCATACAAACACTAGGTGGATCCAGAAAAAGTCAGAAAATGAAGAAAAAGGGAACAGAGAGCACGTGGAAAGCATGTGAAATGGTACGACCACTAGAGAGAAGAGGTGTCTGACAAGGTGACACATATGACCCAGCCGTCTCACTCCAGGTACCTGCCCACGAGGAATGGAAGACGTCCACACAGACTTGTGCACGAATGTTCACAGCAGCTTTGTGTGTGCACGCTCGAGCGTGAGCCCGCCCTGACCACCGCCGCCTTGGACTGCGGTTGGGGCGCTCCCTGCCACCCCCTCGGTGCTGGGTGTCGCCTGGGGCACTCCTGACTCCTGCTGGGTGTCCTGTGTGGAGCCCCTCAGTGCTCCTCAAGTCTCTGCCGTGACTACTCCAGTCGCAGCCTAAGAGCCCGTGTCTCCACCATGGGCCGGCACACCTCAACTCCACTGTGTCCCCCACCTTCCTCCACCCTCCCCAGAGCTCAGACCCACAGCCCCGTCTGCCCGGACCCACTTTCTTTCCTGACCCACATCCGATCTGCCGGGAACCCCATTGGCTCTTCCTTCAAAATGCCTCTGGAACCCACCTTCCGTTGGTGCCTGGAGCCTCGAGCCAGCCGGCCGCCACCCTGCGTGTCACGCCTGTGCCTCTGCCCCGTTACCTGCACTGGCTGCAGCGCCCCTCACCTGTTCTCTCAGCCCACCCTGCCCGCCCACTTACTCCGGCACTTCCGATGCCCTCTCCTGCTGGGTGCAGCTCATCCTGGGCATCTACCACTTTCAAGGCACTTACTCACCCCGTCTGCTGGCCACCTGCTGCCCCCATGCTGATGGGCGTGCCAGAGGAGGCCTGTGTCCAGCGGGTGAGTGAGTGGACCTCACGGCCCTAAGCCACCAGTGTGCGGTGTGGCCAGGCGCTGCCATGATGTGCACCCAGCCTCCACCAGGGGACCGTGGGGTTGGCAATGGTGTGTGCTGAGCAGCCTGGGCACACAGGGCAGGCGGGAGGAAGCTCCTGCTGAGAGGCGGGCGCGCTGGGCAGGCCATCGGGCCACTGGATGCTCGACAGGCCCTGCCTGCCTCCCTCTGCCCGGGGCCTGTGTCCCCCCTGGGGCTTCAGGGTCCAGAAGGGGCAGTGGGCCCGCTCCACGTGAGCGGAGCGGAGTTCAGGGAGAGGGTGTGATGTGAACGCTGGGGAGTGGCTGTGGGCACCACGCCTGTGGAGGCCGTGGGAGAGGCGAGTTCCACAAGTTAGAAACTGGCACTTTGGTGCTAGGGCAAAAATGGGGTTATTATTATTGTCATTTTCAGTAGTTTTGCAGAAGTAAAACTAGAATGACTTGTACAAGCCAAACATTACAAAAGGGCTGGGAGGAGGGAACAAAATGGGAATTTGTGTGAGGAGGAGTCGGCTGCTTTGGATAGCGGGCCGCTGCAGAGCCGGGTCTCCGGGGTGGGCGCGCACGTGCGCGTGTGAGAAGGGGGTTCTGAACGAGGGCAAAGAGGAGCCGGAGCCAGTGCGGGCAGCCCATGACCTTTATTGAACCCTGACGAGGTCACAGGCGCTTCTGGCCAGTCTGCACCCTCCAGCCACCCCTCCAGCCACCCAGGGGCCTATGCGTGTCTCCCCATCCAGTGACACCTTTGTGAGGTCAGGGCCCTAGACCCCCACTTCACCTGTGTCGGGTCAGAACCCCGGCACCCCCTTCTTCCTTCCTTTGGAACAAGGGGAGGGGCACGCCCTGACCCCAGCACGGGACCTGCGTGGACAGATGGACCAACACAAGCGAGGCTGAGAGGGGAGTAAAGTCAGCAGGGGGGTGGAGCGGTCGGTGAGACACGGCAGTCACAGCTCTGGGAGGTTACGGAGAGGACGGCTTGTGGGAAGAGCTGTCAAAACGTCAAACCAACTCTGAACAGTTACACTGACACTAAGGAACAACATTTGTAAAATGGCACACGTGGGAACGCCCCAAAGCATTGAAAAGAAGTGACACCGCGTGGCCATGCAACGGGCGACGGGGCGGTGGCAGGGACAGGCCTGGAGCTCACATGTGGTGGAGGGTTTGCTTGGGTGCTGTGTGGGCCTCTATGGCACAGACCACTGCTAGTAAAGAAAACCTCTATTTGTACTTGTGAGGAAGGGCGGGCTGTCTGTACAGAGCGCGCGAGCCGGCCGGACGCCAGCGTTCGCGGCATGGAGGACGCGGGGCGGGATTAGAGCGCGCCCATCCCAGTGACCTCAGACGTCAGCCTGGAAGAGACAAAGACACAGGGGAGACAGGTCACAGCGTTCTCACAAAACACGACTTGACATGAAAAGCGTCCCTGTGGCACCCTCACAGCGCTGGCATCTGCCTCCCTCTCTGTTGGGACAGGTTGTCCCAGGTCAGGGCTCAGTGGCCTTGAGGTGCAGACCAAAGTCCCGCAGAGGGACCAGGCCCACAGGGTCTTCCTTTCTTGCCCACAGGCACCCATGTGCCTGTCAGCATATCAGGAGCATGACGAGAACCACCTGGACAATCCCAGGTGACCACAACCTTGTGTACGGCCACCACTGGGAGAGGGCCGCCTCCCTCCAGCCCCCTCAACGTTCTAGGCTCGAGAGGAGGGTCCGGCCCTGTGATGAGGAGGCAGAACCGCTTCCTGGCCTCCGTGAGGTCCCGCCTGCCTGGCTGTGGTCACACCGTGCTCGCCCATGTGCCCTTGCGAGGCCACAGGACCTCACCTCCCCCAGCACGTAACCCGGGACCCTCGCGCGGTTCCCCAGCACACTCCTCTGCAGCGTCTGGGTGGTGTGAGAGCAGGATGATCCGGTAACATCTCTGAAACTACAGGACCCTTTCTGCTAAGTTTCAGTTAGCCCAGGGGTGTGGCTGACCCAGGCCCTGACAGTAGCCACAGCCTCCAGGGAAGTGCTCTGGGCCCCTCCCTGAAGATCCTCCAGGGTGAAAGGCCAGGCGGGCAGGGCCCTGCGTGTGTGCAGACTTGTGCACCCTCCAGCACACCACGCCCACAGCGAGGCGGCTCTCACCTGGCATTGATCAGGTACTGGGCAAGGCTGATGTTGGCTGGGGTCCCTGTGATGGTGATCTGTCGCTCCGACGACCCTTCCGTGGCATTGGCAATTTTGATCTGAGCTCCAGACATCTGTCGAATTTCATTGATTTTGGTCCCCTGGCGTCCAATTATACAGCCTATTAGCTAGAAAAAAGGACGGAGGAATTTCTTAGAGAAGAGCCCGTGGCAGCTCCAAACAGTCTGTGGGGACGGCCCGGCCTGGTCTCCACCCAACACCAGCTCCGTGCTTCCAGAAGGAAGACATGCTGCCCACCCTGGGAGGGGTGGTGAGAGCGCGTGCCCGTCTCCCTACAGGAGGGATGGGAGCCGTGGGCACCTGGGCTCTGCTTGGCACCCTATTATGAGTAGCCCTGACAAATTACGAGACTGGGGAGTCATGTGACTGTGTCACCTGCCCAGCGTCCTTTGGGGGCCTTGGAGGCCTGCTGCCAGCACCAGGGCCGAGGCCATGTTGGCGCCTTGTTGGCGGGGCTGTGAGGGAGGCAAGATGTTCGTTTGAAGCCAGGGTAAAGCTCGCTGATGCCTAAAATCTGTCCTTTTTTTTTTTTTTTTTTAAGATTTTATTGGGGAATTGGGGGAGGGGAACCGACAAGTTGCTGCCCTTTGGTTCTTCAGTCTAGTTGTGGAGGACGTCGCTTCACTGGCCCATGTTGGTATTATGATCATTGTGTGCTTCCCTGGTGAGGCAGTTGGTCGCCGGCCATTGGACAACTGCTCACAGCGGCTCACGGCAGCTCACGGCAGCCCACTGCCGCCCCGCTGCAGCCTACGCCGTCGCCGGCGACTCACGGCAGCCCAATTCCAGGTTGAGCTGTTGTTCACCATCTTAGCTGTAGAGGGCACAGCGTCACTGGTCCTCATGTGGGAACCGAACCGGCGGCCCTGCTGCTCAGAGCTGGCATCTCAAGCCAACTCCTAACCAACATGCCACTCGGCCGGCCCCTAAAACCTGTCTTTTGATAAACTTAAATTCTGAGGACACATCAGCTGTTCCCTTTCCTTCCCACTGTGGGAACTCTGAAGGGCCTCTGGCCACTCCACCGTCGGAAGGAACAGGCGGTCGTGAATGAAGCAGCCGGAGGGACCAGGGCTGGAGCTTCCTGGGGACACAGGACAGCCACCTGTGGGGCCAGGCTGCGCCTGAGCTCAGGACCAGCTCTCGGTGGCAGCAGGGTGGCCACTGCGGAGGCCCCTCCCAGCCTGCCCTGCTGTGCGCGGGTCCTCAATTTTCACACGAGGACCGAGGGCCGCTGATGAGAGCTCTGAGTGTGAGCACAGGAAGAGGCCGATGGGCCTGTGAGCCGGCCTCTGATTCCGTCTCCCATGGGGCAGACTGGCCGAGGGTGCCGGCACTTGTGACATCAGCGCTAGGAACACGCTTCAGTTCTGTCGGCGAGGCAGTGGGTGCAGGGATTGGGCTGGGCTGTGAGATGGCGTGCTGGGGAGACCCACTTCCTAATGGAGTCGACTGAGCCTGCACCATGACAGCTCAGCGGGGAAACAGGGGCCTCTCAACTAGCTCTTGTCCCTGACCTACAGACCTGAATTCTGCTCACTGGGAAGGCCGTCTCTGCTCATCTCCTGGGTTAGACCAGCCTCCTCGTTAGACTTGACATAATCTCTCCTAATGTCCACGCAAACCTGTCCCCAACTGCTCAGCGTCCTCCACCTCCTGCGGGTCCCTCAGGCCCTGACGCCCCTCACACTCCACCCACATCTTCCCAAGCCCCACCCACCGCCCCTCACGCTGTGCTTGGCCCTGACAGGGTCAGTGAGAGTGACTTCCATTGTCACTGCCTGAGATCCCGGACCCCCTGCTGGCTCAGGAATCCCGGGCCCTCAGCCAGCCAGCGAGAGACCCACTCGCTCTCCTCACCTTTCGTGCCTCCACTGGATGTGAAGAAAGGCTACAGAGGTACTCTCAAATCAGCAGCCCCTCCTAACCAGAGGGACAAGCCAAGCCCCACACCTACCCTATCACACCTCCTGGAGTCGCCTGTGCGAGCCCTTAGGGTCCCTGTCCCAGCAGAAGGCCCAGGGGATTCTGGGATTAGGACAAGGGAAAGGGGCCAAGCATGGGGTCGCCACAGTCACAGTGACATGAGCGAGGCAAGCTGCGTAACAGACAGTGACTACGTAAGGACACAGTGGTGACCATCAGGACAGTCGAACACGGCCAGTGCTGGGCCTGGGTCCCTGTGGCCAGGAGGGCAGGCTGGCTGTGCTGTGAAACCTGTGTGTCATTTAGGTTACCGCACCCATTCCGAGTTCCTTCCTGTAGGTAAGCTGTGGTGACATGCGGGTCCTGGCCCGCTTTCCCTGAGCTCGATCTAATTTTGACCAAGAGACGGAGATGAACAAGATGACAGGCAAGTGTCCCGACAAACACGTGCCCTACTTCCTTCTCTCCAAGGTGGCAGGAGGCCCTGGGGTCACAGACGCTGTCCTTTGCAGGGGACCTTTCTGCCAGGAAGGGTGGAGGGGTGTGCTCTGCAGGAACACAGGTCCAAGAAGGTGCCCCCCTTCCGAGGAGCACGCCCAGCAGGAGGCTGGCAGCCATGCACTGGGAGGGACCTCAGGAAAGCGGCACGCCAGCTCTCCAAACGCGCTCATCCTCCAGCTTTTTAGGTTCACTTCAGATTCAAAACCAAGGCCAAGTCAGAGCAGGGTACCTGCTGCTGGAGAAACAGTGGTTTAGGAAAAGGCTATGAGGCAGCCCAGGGGCGGCTTGCACATGCCATGTGGGCGGAAACACCCGGCAGGTGGCCCAGAGCCGCTGCTCAAGGACCAGCAGGTGGGAGGACGTGTCTGGAGCCCTGGAAAGCAGAAACCCTCTCCCTCTGAGGACACAGGGTCACGTCACCCCAGGCCAGAGCCCGGCCTGCCCGAGGGTGGTCTCTTCTGGAGGGCCTTCCCATCCAGGCGCCCCGTTGCTCGTCTCCTTCCACTCAGGGCGGCCACCGCAAGCCACAGTCTGTGCTTCGCCTACTGAAGGGAAGACGCAGGACTTCCTGCTGGGCTGGTGTGAGGGGCAGAGCAGCGAAGGTTCCTGAAGGCCCAGGTTCCAGGAAAGGCACGTCCCCCACAGGGCGGACCGTCCGTACTGCTCGGGCAGTTGCCCCTGCAGGGCATGTGGCCTACACCCGTCCCAGGGTCACGGTTTGGGATCCGAGTCCAAGTTCTCAGGATGATCTGGGATTCAGGATGGTCGGGGGGCCTGGGTGTAGAGGGAGCTCGTAAGGCTGCCCCTCAGCTGAGCCGAGACTGTGAGTGCTGGATAAGGAGTCCAGACATCCTGTGACGTCGCCACACCCTGCAGACACCCAGGGAGCAGGGGCAGGTCCGCCCCAGAGCTTCCCGGGGCCACCTGCTCTTCCGGGGCCACCCTGGACCAGGGCAGTGCCTTCCCCAGGCTCAGGGGGACCTGATCCCAGCCAGCTCCTGCACCTGAATCCAGGTTGAGCCCTGAACCCCCCGGCTCCTTTCCTATCTGGCACCTCGGGTCTTTTGTGGGCGTTAAACCACTTAACGTGGGAAGGGACGGGGAGGTCACACGGTGGGGTCGGGGGCCAGGGCTCGGGGTTACTCACATCATTGGGAATGGTGAGCTCGTGAGTGCTGGCCGGGGGGCTGGCATCCAGACCTGGGCACACCAAGGAGACACGGTTAGGCTGGCAGAAGGCTGCTCACGTCGCACCGCAGTGTCCGGCCCACATCGGCCCACACAGGCGGAGCAGGGCCGGGGCTGGCCCGAGGGGAGGGGCAGCGCAGCCGGAGGCCGAGGGCCTGTGAGCTCAGCCCACGCTGCAGCGCAACTGCTGAGCCCCAGCTGCTCTCCGCACAAAGGAAAGAAGCCCCGGCGGGAACATGGCGCGCCTTTTCGTTTGGGGCACACCACGCCAGGTGCGACAATCTCTCTCGAGGCCCTGCAGACACGTGGGGAGCCCTGTGCTAAGCGACTCGCGGGGTGTGGCTGTGTCTTGGGGACTCCATGGGGCACCGGCCACACTGGTCCCTTTGACCCTGTGTGCCCGTCCTCCCTGGGTTCCTGGTCCCCTCTGCTGTCCGCCGGGCTGCCTCTCAGGGCCTCTGGCCCTGTGCTGCCCGCTGTCACCACACTGCGGTTCTTCCAGTTCTTCCAGTGTGGGGCTGCAGAGACTGACAAGTAAGCTGCGGCCCCGAAGGGCTAACACATCTGCCCCGTGTCCTGTACTGGAGGTGAAGGCACAGGCCCCAATCTTTCTCTTGACAAATCTCAGCTCAGGACCCGCCACACCAAAGGCGGCTTCTCAGGGTTCAGGACAAGATCTACTTTTGCTCTGGAAACACAGACAACAGAATGCACAGGGGGACTGGTGGTGGTGGGGGACCAGTAGGGACAAAGGCCCAAGGCAGACAGGCAACCTGTACCCAGTGCGTCCATCTCCTTCTCGGGAGGCATCTCAAACCCAGAGTCCACAGCTGAGACCCTGCCCGTCCTCCCAGGCCACAGAGTCTCAGCATCTCGGATCTCACAGCTCAGCCCAGACCCGGAGTCCCCGGCTGCGCCCACTCTCTCCGCCCACAGCCGCTACGCAGACTGGGCTCATGTTCCTTCAGAGTATTCCAGAACCTGAGCCCTCCCCCCTCTCCATGCTGGTCCCTGCCTCTGCCCTTGCCCCTCCATCTAATCTCCACGTGGCCCGGAGACGTCCCAACAAAACACAGATCACATGCCTTGAAGACTCAAGAGCTGCCAAGGGCTCCCGCTGCGTCCCCCCTCAGCCTCCCCCAGCACCCCGACCCAGCCCAGAGCTGGGCGGTCTCACCACCTGCCCTCCCATGATCCCCGTCCCTCTAGCCACTTCTTCCCCCACAGCACTTGTGTCCCCACAGCCAGACGCACCGTGGCCGTGGCCTCGCTGCTAAGTGAGCCTGTGAGGGTGGGGCTGTCCGGGGGCCCGGCCACACGGGGACTCAGCTGGCGGTCCTTCCAAACTGTCTGCTCTTTTTCTTCTGCACAACTAACCCTAGAGTCTCTGCTCTTTATCTTTTAATAAAGGCGTTTTCAATACGATGATTTGATTGTTCAACCATCTATACACAGTCCACAGGGACATTTTAAATGTCATTTAAGGGATTTCCTTAGTCCGGTCTGAGTCCCGCACAGGAAGCCCTAGCAAGCTGGCTTGGGAAGGGACATGAAGCCTGATCACACCCGCCCTACATGGTGTATGCTGATGGAGGGAAGCTAACGGGACGAAGAATGTGAGAGCACGTCCTTTAAAACTCACCTTCCTGTGTCAGGGCTCTGAGCCCAGTGGTGAGTGTCTCTGTCCTAGGCGATGACACCCCACACTCTGGGATGGACAACGCTCGCAACACAACCCGAGCCTGTCTCAGCAGCAACGAGGTCATTGGCCTTCAGGGTCCTGTCAAACCAGCCACCGCCTGTCCTCATGGCCCTGCTAGACCTGCTGCGGTGGTGGGACATGTGCGTGTGTGTGCACATGAGCTCAGGTCCCATGGGGCCTTGGGGTGGGAGGTCGTAAGGGGGAGTCCACGTCTGAGGCTCACAGGCCGTGGGGGAGGGGGGCTGTGTGGCCTGGGCCACAGGGGTCCCCAGGTCATGTCCAGGAGCCTGTCACTGAGTAACCACACGAATCGCGCTATGGACTGCAGGGAGCTGCACAGACAGACACCTGTGTATCACCAGGTATAACCCTGGTAAGGGTTGGTGTCCACGTCCACACTGGAAATTTCCATAAATGTCCTTCTCTAATTTTCATTCATTATTCTGCAGTAACTCATTAAAGGCTGAGATGGAACCCATCCCCAGGGCACAAGCGTCAGAGCTGGTGCTTTGCCTCGACGCCCACCAGCCCCAGGTGAGCAAGTCCTCGGGCTTCCTTCAGCCTCAGCCACACCCGGGGCCCAGAACATACCACTGGGTGACAGCCAACACGGCTGGGAATGGACACCCCTGCTGTGCTCTGACGGGACAGCGGAGGGGCTGCCCTCACAGGGAGCTGGTGGCTTCACTGCTCTGCGCATGGGTAATGGGTCCCCACATCTCCCCACCTGTGAGTCAGAGGGGTGCTCTTCTCCGTGAGGGGGTGCTGCTGTCTCCCAGGAAACACATCCTGGGGCGGCCCACATCGTGGGAAATGCTGCACTGCAGGCCCCCACACGCTGCGCCCCAGCGAGATAAATGACAACAGACAGTGGCTGTGTCTCATTCAGGGGCTCTGGATTATGGGCAGCGGGCTCTGAGCTCCGTCCCATTGGAGCCCACGACCCACCACCATGCTCCCGGCAGTGACGGAGGCAGCGGCTGGGACCGCAGCACGCATCTGGTGCTGGCCCATGGCCTCTGTCCCCTCACTGAGGCATGGCTGCTGCCCGCCCCCGCCAGTCACACCGGAGCCCAGGCCTGCCTCCCCTGAGAGCGCTTTGTTTTACCTGAGGGCTGGCCCATCAGATTTTGAGCTTCTTCGGAGGAGTGTAAAGGCAGCTTTTCTCCTGGAGAGCAAAGAAGAAACAGATTTAAGGTTTTGCCCTCAAGGAGATAAGCAAGGTCACTTCAACTAGGGAAGCTCAAAATCTGACTGGCAGGCGGCAGACCTGTGTCTGGCGGGCTCTCACGGGCCCTGGCTGCCAAGGCAATGCTGTCATCAGAAGGAGACCACCGGCCAGACCAGCTGCGTTCAGTCCCACCCGCCCAGTACCAAGCGGGGAGCTGATGGCCGCTGCGCCCTGGGCTGGGGACTGGCTTATCGGCTCTCCCACAGGCAGGCAGGAGCCGTTCAGGGCGCTGTCACTCCTTGGACGGGCACTGGCCCGTCCGCTTGTCTGAGTTCCCGCTCCTGGAGAGAACAGGGCTGGCCAGGGGGATACGTCCAGCAGGAAGGGCCAAGGGCGCCTGCGAGCAGTGGCAAACAGGCGTGCGCCTTCGAGGGGCAGGTGTCCCTCCACAAGACGGCCAGCTGAGAGGTGACTGACCCACCTCGGGGACACAGACAGGCCTCCCGCCCGTGTGTTAACTAGGACTGTACCTGCTCTGCTCACTGCCCTGAATAACGACAGTTCAGAAAGAGAAAGTCCCCAGGTGAGAAGAGAGGAGGTGAGAAAGGGCAGCTGGGTACGTACCGGGGAAAGCGGGGGTGGTCTGTCCGAGGGAAGGAAAGGGGGGTTGCTGCATGGCCAACTGGTGGAGCTTGGTCAGCTGCTGGGGTAGGAGGGACATGAGAGCTAAGAAGGTCATTGTCATCGCGTACAAGTCACACCAATTAAAAAGGCAGTCACAGAACTTGGTACACACAGAGCACAGGGCCATGCGGACACATGGCAGACGCGGCAGACGCAAGGACTTGGCCTGGGACAACCAGTGGGCCGTGTCGGCGGGCGCAGAGCTCCGGCTCCCGCTCCGCAGCCTGAGCAGCCAGGCCTCCCTGGTCACAGGGGCGTGGGCTGCCACGAGCGACCCCCAGACCGTGCGGAGGCTGCTGGGCCACCGGCTTTGCGGGGAGACACAGAGCAGGCCCAGCTGGGCCTTTAACAGTGTCACAGCTGTACTGTCACTCAGAGCTCGCGTGCACCTGTGGGGCACCCCTGCGATGCTCCCTCTGCAAACCTCACCTGCCCAGCCTGCCCCAGCCCTGCCTCACACGTCACCACCTGTCCCCTCCAGGACTCCAGGATGCAGGGCTGCAAGGGTCTGTGGAGGCATGTGTGAGAATGCCCACCGTGTCCCTTGCCCCCCACCCAGCCACTAGACTTTGGGGGGGACTTTGACATGCAGTTGGTTTAGTTATTTTACCTGTCTCGTTTCTTAGACACTAAATGTAACACAAGGGGAAAAGTGGTGACATGTGGCCACACTTGAGGACACGTGCTCAGAATCCCCCCATCCTTCGGTGATGCCGGGCTGGACGTTCTCAGGCCTGGCTCACCCACAGGGCCCATGCCTCCAGCTGCCGCAGGGCGGGGGGAAAGCACGTTCCAGAAAATGTCCTCAGCTCCCAAACTCCGCAGGAAGACTGGCCCGAACATTCCCAGTGTGGCTCCCAGAGCGCCTTGGACTTTTCAGCAGGCGAGGGCAGGGGCCTTGGGGGAGCCCTTGGAGGCTGGCAGGAGGGCACTCAGGGAGCAAAGCTGGCATCCCCAGGGACATGAGGATCTGACCAGCCACCCACATGTGTCCCATCGTGCAGAATCTGGGCTCCTACGGCTCCACAAAAAAGTCTCAGGGACGCAGCAACTATGCACTTGGATTTCTGACATCCTGGCAGCTCCACAGACAAGCCTGCGGGTGATCGACGGGCGGGCTCACTGCGGCCTCCTGGGAGCCAGGCACGCTCTCCTAACAACTTAGCGGGCACCAGGATGGACGCCAAGTGCCGCTGCTCAGTGCACTGAGGAGCCCCGCTGCCCCCCGACGGCCCTTTCCTCCATCTCCAGCCCTGTGGGGGCAGCCTCTGGGGACAGCGGCTTGGGGTGTGGGGCTCAGTGTGAGGAGGCCGAGGACGCCAGCTGCAGCCCTAAGCAGGGCCATGACCAGCCTGGGGCCTCCTGTCCCAACGTGCGGGAGGAGCCTTCTCTGTGCGAGCGGCTGGCCAGCGTGCTGGGTCTGCATTGCCGGCAGGTTGGCATCAGTGCTGTGTGTTTTCCTCCCTCGCTCCGGAAAGCCTGAGAGCATCTGAAAAGCAGCCCCCCACCCCACCCAGGCATCTCCCCATCTTCCGGGGTGGCCCCCTGGCCTGCAGCACTCAGGCGGCCTGTTTGGGGACAGCTGGCCACAGCCCAGGCTCCACGAGGCCAAGCACAGCTGTTGTGCCTGGGGTCCCAAGGAGGGAAGGTTAGGGGCCTGGTGACCTGGGCTCAGGTCCCGTTCTGAGTCCCCAGGGGGTGATGCTGGTTAAGGCCACAGGGGCTGGGGCTGACGGCCACCTGCTGCCTGCCCCTTGACCTAACCTGACTGAGCAGTGTGACCTGAGCAGACAGGTCATCGAAGCCCCTGAAAAAGGTGTTAGCAGAGCATGTCTGGGAGACACCGGCCAGAAGACACCATCCCGGGACAAGCAGTGAGACCTGGCTACAGCCCGTGCCTTCAGGGAGATGCTGAGAGGCCGAGGGGCCCTGCAGGGAAGACAGCAGGGCAGCCTCGCGAAGGCTCCTCTTCCCAAGGACGCGGACGTGCCTCGGAGAAAGACGGCAAGAGCCCGAAGGCGTCCTGCGGTGTGAGGGTGAGGAGCTCGGCCCATCCTAGGCCTCCTGGGGACCCAGCTGCACGGCCTTGACCCTGCAAACCCGCCTCCCACGTGACGGGCCTGGGGCTGGGTAGCAACGAGCCCTGTGCACAGCACGGCACGTGGCGTCATGGGCATCCGGGGGGCTGTGCTCGGGACCCGCCCACCCGGGAGAGTGGAACTGGGCCTGAGGCTCTCCCTGGGAGGTAACTAAGGTCGCAGGGTACGGAGGGAACCCCGCTTTTGGAGACAACAAACTGAAGCTGGGGAGCGAAGGCCAGCCTGCCTGGCCAAGGACAAGCACGGGGATTTCCACGCAGACACGGTGCTCGGTGCTCGGAGGCAAGTGTGGCCTGTGCGTGGCCGGGCCGTGGGGGCTCTGCCCCACCCCCCGGAGGCCTGGTGCAGTGAGGTCGGCTGGCGCCTGCAGGCCTAAGGGGCCCTGACCGGCTGCTCTCTGCTCCTGGTCCCCGAGTTCACCCTGTCACCTGCGCATGCATCTGATGCCCAGCTGGCATGTTCCTCGTGGGGGCAGACCCTGCGTCCTCAAGAGGGCACAGCTGTTCGTTGGTCGGATCAGCAGGGGAGAGGGGGGCTCTGGAGGCGAGAGAACTGGCCTGAGTGGGCTCCAGCCCTGATAGCTCTGTGGGGGCAGGCCTGGCCGTAGGCTGCCAGTCCCCATCTGTAAAGTAGGGGAATCCGTGCGCATACACGGAGGCTGTGATGGGCTGTCCACATCAGCTGGGTGAACAGTCGTGGAAACTGCCAGGGGCTTCCCCACACCACAGTGCGCAGGCTGTGACCGCAGAGGCCCCTGGGCCTTCTCACTGTCTCCCTCAGGTAAAGCCGACGAGGTGTCAGGGCAGGCTCAGCTGGCACCCAGAGTGGCTGTGGGGCCTGACACCAGGAAGGCAGCAACTCCCCCTGCAATGTACTTGCTGCTTCCTACGAAACAATGGCCACACCAGCAAACAAGCCCCCAACCCCACTCACCCATGAATGCAGGGAGCGTGGGACCGGCACCATGGTGCCCGGATAAACACCCGTCCAGCGAGGGCGGACTGACGGGCGTCAGCTGGCATCTCCCATCTTGCCGCTGCCCTTAATTAGTCAAGCACGTCACCTCTTCTACATTTTTTAAAGGAGGAAGAAGACAAAGTACTAAGGAAAATTCCTGCTTTTTGAGATATTTCTGCCATCAAAAAATCAGACTTCTAGGTCTCACCAGTGCCTACAAATCATGAGGATGGGAAGAAGAAAGGATGGGGTGGTGGGAACGACCAGTGGGGTGTCATATTACATATTTCTCTGTAACTTGCCTTTTCCACTTAATGTTGTTGGAATACAAGAACATAGGCTAATACTAAACACAGACAATGACCGAAACTGCAAGTACCCTTAAGTAAATAACTCAATGAGATGTCACAAAATGAACACACCTTGCAGCTACCTCTCCAAGGTGCTAACAAACCACCACGGGGTCTGACAGTCAATCGTGTCTCCTTTCTGTGAAATGCTTGCTTCTGTCTTTGCCATTTTTCTATTGGGTTGATTCTTGCCAATTTATAAGAACTCCTTATGTATTTCAGGAATAAATCCTATTTCAGTTACACCTGCTAAGATCTTTTCCCCATTCTCCTAATGGTGTCTTCAGAGAAACAGAATTTTAAAATTCTAATGTAGTCAAATTAATTAGTATTTTATGATTTCTGCCCATGTCTTGTTAAGTTCTTCCCTGGGCCGGCCGAGTGGCGTGTTGGTTAGGAGTTGGCTTGGGATGCCAGCTCTGAGCAGCAGGGCCCCGGTTCGGATCCCACATGAGGGCCAGTGACGCTGCGCCCCCTACAGCTAAGATGGTGAACAACAGCTCGACCTGGAGCTGGGCTGCTGTGAGTGGCCGGCAGCCGGCGTGAGCTGACAAGAGCCGCCATGAGAAGCTGGCCGTCCAGTCGCCGGCAACCGATCTGCCTCACCCGGGAAGAGCACAATGATCATAATACCAACTTGGGCCAGTGAAGCAACGTCCTCCACAACTAGAATGAAGAACAAAAGAACAGCAGTTTGTCTGCTCCCCTTCCCCGATTCCCCAACGTTGTTCCCCTCCCCCAATTCCCCAATAAAATCTTAAAAAAAAAAAATTCTTCCCTGAGCTTCTAAGTACAGAGAGCCATTGCACTATGTGTGACTCCTAAGTGTGCTGAGTGCTTCTGTGCTGGACTCACAAGGAGGTTTTCTGTTTATGCTGGGAAGCTCCGTCTCCCTGTGTAGATGGCCATCATCCCAGCGTCTCTCTCAGACCAGGCTTCCTTTCCCACATGGGTTAGAGTCCGGCCTCTCTGCTCAGATGCACTGGTCCGTGGTCTCTCCTTTGTGCAGCCAAACCAGGGTCTCAGCTCGCACAGCCTTCAGCTAGCTTCCCCTCGTAAGGACAGAGCCCATCACACACCCTCTTCACAAATGTGCTGATGGTTCTTGGCCATTGCTCTTCCATGTAAAAATTAAAACAGCCTATCAGGATTTTGATGCAATTGTACTGCATCTGCACTTCAATTTGGAAAGAATCAGCATAATTAAGGTGCTTAGTGTTCCTATCCATGAACATGATGTTTCTCCAATTGTTTTGGTGTTTTCGTCTTTAACTTTCAACCAAGACATGTTTTTTAAAAGTATCTTTCAGCTATTCATTTCAACCTAACTGCTTTGTGGTAAAAGTATAGCCTGTATGATTCCAATTTTTTGAGACACTGAGTCTTCTTTATAGTATAGAATGTGATCAAGTTTTGTAAATGTTTTTCATGAATTCTATAGCTGTTGGGTGTAGTGTTCAATATATGTCAATCACATCAGCTTTGCTGATTTTGTTAATATCTCCTTTATTCTTGCCTACTTGATTTTTATTGAAAAAGAGGCAGTATGTTAAGATGCTGCTTCGATGACTATCAAATTCTCTTTATGGTTTGTCAATGTTTACTTTTATATA